AAAGAAAAGAGAAACATATATATATATATATAAATTTTCATTAGTTATCAATAAATCAAATATGTAACATTGTACTCAAAAACTGACAAGAAATGCCTTTCATTAAAAATTCATGATTTTACATGAAAAATATATTTTTTTAATATGACACATCACACAATATTTGCAGGGTGAATATGTAGGATTAATTTAACAGTTGTACTACAGTATTAAAGCAATATCATAATAAGTGGCAGAACTGATAGTGAAAATATCTAAAAAAAATACTTAATAAACCCCCTTTCCCTTTCCCAGGAAAAAACAGAATAATGAACAAAAAAAAAGATTAAGGCACCTTGTAACCTTGTCAACCTGTTCTGATCTACGGCAGAAGTTAGGCTCGGAGACGAAGGGGGTCTGTGTGTGTGTATATGGTGTATTAAGTGCTATATCGATTGAACTATAAGCTCAATAAACTAACGTTCAATATCTTTTTTTTTTATTTTACGATAAGAGCTCTTAAATTTCCTCAGGGTCAGGATTCATGAATCGCTAAATTGCAAAACAGGGTGGACTTGGTCACTTCTTGCCCCCCCCCCCCTACAGGGGGGACAAGACTTCTTAAGGGAGGGGCATGCCCCCCCCCTTAATCAGGCTAGGGGGGCCTGGCCCCCTGCCCCCCCTTAGTTGCGCGCCTGAACAGCCTCTTTCGATCTGAATAAAAATAAAAATAAGGTTAAAGATTACTTTGTAACCATTGTTCTTTTGTTTTCAAGCATTGTTATAGTATATACTCCAAACCTGACACTCTTGATAAATTAATAAGATACTATTCTTAGAGAAAAAGAGAAAGCGGAAAGGAAAACGAATACATCATTACATTTATTCTTTGACTAAAGATTGTTTTTAAAACATTGATTTGAAATGAAACCTCTCAAATCATGTCATGTGATACAATAAAATAGCAAATCATTCTACGCTTCTGTCATAATTTTTTATAATTATAAAGTTGATATTTAGGGTCTGACTTAAGAACTAATTAAAATATTTACGTTTTCCTTGTTTGCCTAGGACTAATTAACTTCAAGATATAGTTCTCTATCCCAACGAGTATATAAGTTTTCTATGTTTACCTAGGACTGATGAACTTCAAAATATACTCCTCTATCCCAACCAGTATATAAGTTTTCTATGTTTACCTAGGACTGATGAACTTCAAGATTTACTCGTCTATCCCAACCAGTACCCTAGTTACAAGCAGAAGAAGACGAGCTCTTAACTTCAGGTACAAGTCCAACCAAATTATTTATTTATGCGGAAATACCCGGCGTTCCACATTAGGTTTCAAAAACCGTCCAACTCTCGGTAGAAAACGACATCTTGCGTTTAACCCGTTAATTTGAGAAATATGTCACCTCATGAAATATTTTTTATTCTGTAAGTGTTATGATTTGGCTGGTTTAAGGATAAACATACACATCTAAGGTTTGACCTCTAAAACTGTGAACTAGAAACTGGACAATTAAACAATCTTATTTGATGTTTTTACAGATTAATAGGTTATAAACCAGTAGCTGGAATATCTACCTGGGTCTCCGCCTGGAGTCTTAAAGTTGTCTTCATATTCCAAAGTTTTATTGACCTCACTGTAAAATCCATGTCACTTTAACATTTACAAGATGTTTTATTTTATCGTAGAGGAATAGGAAACTAATAAATGTCTGTTTCTTCCAAATTGCTGAGTAGTTACAGAACCGGAGCGTTGTGGAACTCCGGATCAAGCATTGATCTCCATCTTATGCAGATTTAAGGATTTATTTAATCTTAAAATACTACTTTTCGCTTTAAAATAAATAGCAAATCTTCCCATCAGGTAGTAAAATGGTTTGTTAAGATGCCTATTAATTACTAGAAATATTTCTAATTTCTAAATATTATTTTTGTAAACACCTTTATCAAATATCTGAATAAATCAATTATTTGTATAAAGGGAGTGTTCGCGAAAAAGTAAACGGGGGTATAGGCTTAAGGCGAAAAATAATCGCTTTTGATCGCTTCTAATCTTACTTTTATCTGTTGCATCTATAAGGAGAAAATTGTTAAAAACTACTTTTACTGAAGAACGTAGCGTCCATACAAATTCAGAAAGTTGCAATATACGACTTGGATCGTAAAAAAATTAATTTATTTTTAAGCAAATCATTCAGATATATATTATATATACCTAAAGTCGTCGATTATTTTTCAACGCATTTGTTATAGTTAATATTTCATGATATTTTTTATTTGTTTTGTATACAATGAGCTTCAAATGCCGAAATAGTTGGCTGTCAGGTGTCTCTGCTCTCGATTATTTGAATATGGAATAGACAGGGATACACAACCGACGCGGTTCACCCTACCATATGGTTATGCTTTGCAGATGGTACTTCATTTGAATAAGAAATATTTGTCTGATGTTCAATTACCGCGTATACAATAACCTTGTTGTCTTAATGTTAATGGTTGACAAACCTATTCTGATTATTTCTTATACAAATGAAGTACCAACTGTCATGTTTCCTGGGACACCCTGTACCTTAGCAGAAAGATAATATCATATTATCTAAAACGTAAAAGAAGAAGGATAACTTTTACCCTAAAAATGCAGATGCAAAATACTATAAATCTTAATTAACACCAAAAGACCAAATTCCATCTCCAATTTTCAATTAGATTAATTTGAAATCTAAATTCTAAAGATTAACTATATGTAATTAGAAAATTCATAGAAATTTTCTTTTGAATATGATAAAAAGAAACAAATTAGATTTATCAGGAAAAGTTCTTAAATCATTAAGTAATTTTTATCTATATAATATTATACTGTAAATACCCAATTCTTTCCAATTTGGTAAAAATTTTAAAATTGTTAAAATTTTCCCATAAAATGTCTTAAAAAACGTTTTTACAGCATAGAGTTTTTCCTCCTAATGACAGCTTCCCTACAGTTATTCTTTGACTGATAATTATGAAGGAAAAATATTCTCTGTTGCTAATTTTTCTTTCAGAAAGAAACCGAGTCTTTGCAACAAAATCACTATCTTTGTTGCAACCTGAGGATGTATTTTATTATTATTATTATAAAGATTTATTCACACACAAAGATATAAATACATATATAAATGGTGTAGTTAAAATTTTTTTAAAAAAATTTTTTTTTTTTTTTTTTTTTTAGAAANCTGGCTAGCTTCTGAAACCCAAACTGAAGTTCATCTGTGGTCAGCTTATCAGAGTTTAGAATTAATATCAACCAGTCAAACCATTTTAGAATCAAGCTGCCAATGGCAATTGCCCTGTAATTGTCACTGATAGCAATGTCATCTAAGTTGTCCTTCACTATGGGCACTAATGTGCACAGTAGTAAAAAAGCAGGAATTTTGCCTGTAGCCAAAAACCATTTAAATAGGTTGGTCACATGATCTATTGATATTTCAAACTTAGATTTATTGATCTTACAGAATTCATAGTTTGAAATATCTAATGACTATAAAATCAGAGTTTGTGGCAAAAATATTTCATGTCATGATTGGTCTAACCCGAGACAAAACCGAAATGGATTTTCTATCTGCCCTGAAATCATTGCTTGGTCGATCTAATTTTTTATTACTTTGGTGTCTTATTTTCAATTTAATTCGTGTTTATTATTTTTAGCTTAAAACTGCCAGTCTTACTCTTTGATATAACAGAATTCCAAGTTTAAACACCATAGTTTCAGGAGAAGTAAATATTTCCATTTACTGCTATAGCGCCGATATAAGGATTTAACTCTAATTGGATAATGAGATAGATAGATAGATGTTACCATAGTTTCAGTAGAAGTAAATATTTCCATTTACTGTTATGGCGCCGATATAAGGATATAACCTTAATTGGATAATGAGCTAAATGGAAAGATACATGTTACCGCCATGCAATTTCTATTGGTTCAGAATAGACACCAAACACATGACTGAACTCTGATTGGATCAGGCGCTGATGAACTTGGCAAACTAGAGTGTGAAATACCTAAGATCTACGACATATGGGTTTCAAAGATATAAGGATTAGAAAATCAGAGTTAGTGTCAAAGAATCATTTCCTTTGCTTATCTTTGCAAACAATTGGAAACTATGGGGAACCTTTTTGAAATCAATCAACTTTGAAACATCGAAAAACTGACAAATGATGTTCAGTGGTTCCAGACGCAACTTTTGGTACTCAAATCTACATGATTTGGTGACAAAAAATTGAAAACTTGACCTTGCCCCCATGATCAATTTTTTTTTGAATTGTTAATTAGTAACAGAGTTTTGATTTTTTTAACGTTTTTTTATAGTTGTAGCTTCTTATTTGACATTGTATAATTTTTGTGTCTGGTGAATTTAACATTTTGGGTCCGTAATGACCAACATTTTGATGAAATAGTTTCACTCACTAGGTTGGCTCGTATATCTGTAGCTCTGGTGATAATCTTCTTGGTGTTCAACACTCCTCGTCTCACAATAGGACTTTACGAGGTTAGATTTTCACAACAAACAATTATATATAGGCTGGATTAAGAAGATTAGCGCCTTGAATCTGATCCCCTCATGGTCTTAAAAAGTGAGAGAAAGAAAATTATTTGCGCAAAGTTAAAAAAGGGAAAATGATGTTGAATGTTGGCCAGGACACAAAACTAGGATTTAGAGCTGCTCAACTGTGGTTGGCTTAATGTATACAACACTTAATCTTCAAATATGGAGTTTTTAACATTAAGTCTAAACGATTATAGATTATGCCATGCTTTATTTTGTGTCCGACTTTTGTGACCTCTATGTTTACCTTTATAACTTATCGCCACCCATCAACCCTAAAATTGATTCATTAGAATACATTTTTGATTTATGTTGCAAATTAATTGGAAGATAGTTAGTTTTGAAAAGTTCTAATTTTTATAATTATTTCGCAAATTTGGTTGTTGTTTAGGTAACAAAGCTTGAATCTATAATTGATTGTTTCTCCAACAAGCAGAGATATTATCCATCCACGGTTCAGCTAGTTGGAGATATCTGTTCTCAGGTATACAGTAAACAGGGTTAACCACAAGGGATAAGACTTCAGAGACGAGTTTACAGGAGTTATTTAGCCAATATCTTACAATCATTGGCTAGATTATTGCATCTTTCTTTGCCAGAAAATCAAGTAAACAATTATAAAACTACATCTAAGGCTGAACACCAAATCTATCTCTCCGATCTAAATATTTCAAGAACTTATCTACGAAGTCTTATCCTTTGTTGGTAACCCTGTACAATATATCTGGATATATGTTGGTAACCCTGTACAATATATATCTGGATATATATTGTATTTCTTTTCAAATATAACGCAGATCAGATTACCAATTAGTTTAGCTGTAAAGAAAATTATTCTATCTTATTATGTGAGAAACTAGTACTTCTGTACGTAATCTGTACTGTTCTGTTATCTAGTTTTTTTTGTACTGTACTGTACTGTAGTCTAATATTTGTATTGTACTGTACTATATAGAAACATCCACTGAACTGTAATTTAGTATTTGTTTTGATGTATTGTTATTTAATTAAATACTTGTTGTATGAGGGGAGGAAGGCCAGCCACAACAACTTCTCGTCCGAGCCACATTCTCCTCATTTTCTTGTCCGAACCACCTCGAAATCCTTGTCCTTCGTTTATTATGTACTGTAATTTAGTCTTTCTTTTTAACCGTATAGTACTGAATTATATAGTGTTGTCAACCATTAACATTAAGACCCCCCCCCTTCTATGTAATGTCGTCTTCAACTTAAATGCTCCTCTCGGAGACGAGAAACCAAACCAAACAATTTCAGCCCGCTTTCTTCTTTGTTCTCTGATAACGGAGTATAAACGTTTATCAATTGTGAACCATTTCAAAGTTAAACAAAAACATTTATTTAAAGAATTAGTGACTTTCATCAACATTTAATTGTTAATCTTTTCAGAAGTTTTAATGAATAAAAAGCGTCTTCGGACTTTTCGACAGATAACCCCCGAATAGGAAAATAGATCGTAAGAATCTTTTCATTATAAATTTGTAAACCCTGTAACAATTATTTATCATTATTCATTTCATTATTTTTTTAGGAAATAAAGAGTTTTCTGCATTATCGATTTTGATTCGTGGGTTATACCTTGTCTAACTGTTCATCGTCAGAATCTTGTTCCTTAGCGACAACAAGTGTCTTTAAACCTGTGCTGTACTGAACTCAAGTGTGAACTACTGTGCCTACTGTACTGAACGATAAAGTGTCTTATATATTAAGTACTGTACTGTACTGAACTCCAGTGTGAACTCCAGTGTGAACTTCTGTGCCTACTGTACTGAACTATAAAGTGTCTATATTAAATACTGTGCTGTACTGAATTTCAGGGTGAACTTCTGTGCCTACTGTACTGAACTATAAAGTGTTTTATATATTAAGTACTGTGCTGTACTAAACTCCAGTGTGAACTTCTGTGCCTACTGTACTGAACCATAAAGTGTCTTATATATTAAGTACTGTACTGTACTGAACTCCAGTGTGAACTTCTGTGCCTACTGTACTGAACTATGAAGTGTCTTTATTAAATACTGTGCTGTACTGAACTTCAGGGTGAACTTCTGTGCCTACTGTACTGAACTATAAAGTGTCTTATATATTAAGTACTGTACTGTACTAAACTCCAGTGTGAACTTCTGTGCCTACTGTACTGAACTATAAAGTGTCTATATTAAGTACTGTGCTGTACTGAACTCCAGGGTGAACTTCTGTGCCTACTGTACTAAACTATAAAGTGTCTTTATTAAGTACTGTACTGTACTGAACTCCAGTGAGAACTTCTGTGCCTACTGTACTGAACTATAAAGTGTCTATATTAAGTACTGTGCTGTACTGAACTCCAGTGTGAACTTCTGTGCCTACTGTACTGAACAATAAAGTGTCTTATATATTAAGTACTGTACTGAACTCCAGTGTGAACTTCTGTGCCTACTGTACTGAACTATAAAGTGTCTATATTAAGTACTGTGCTGTACTGAACTCCAGGGTGAACTTCGGTGCCTACTGTACTGAACTATAAAGTGTCTATATTAAGTACTGTGCTTTACTGAGCTCCAGTGTGAACTTCTGTGCATACTGTACTAAACTATAAAGTGTCTATATTAAGTACTGTGCTGTACTGAACTCCAGTGTGAACTTCTGTGCCTACTGTACTGAACTATAAAGTGCCTATATTAAGTACTGTGCTGTACTGAACTCCAGTGTCAACTTCTGTGCCTACTGTACTGAACTATATAGTGTCTATATTAAGTACTGTGCTGTACTGAACTCAAGTGTGAACTTCTGTGCCTACTGTATGCTGGGAAGTCAGTTTCAATCTGAACTACGAAACCTCATCTACTCACTGGTCAGTTATAGATCACATTTATCTTAAAACGTCAAAACGGCTGAACCGGTCGGGCCCAAATTTTTCTTGGAACCTTACGTGACCCCAGGGAAGGTTTATCATATTTTCAGAAATTAGCCTCCGACAAAATTTTATATCCAATAATTTTTAAAAATCCACGAAATTTACTATAAAAACCGCAATTTTTGTTTTTTTGTTTGTTTTACAATTTATAGAATGTGAAAATGTTCACAATTAAAATATAGAAGATGGACGCGAAGCGCCTTAAAAACCTAGTATACTATATATAAATACTTTGTCTCTTTGTATTTATCCAATAAACATCGGAACGTGTGTTCTGATCGGGCCCAAAGGGGAGGTTTGTGAATGATCAAAATTTCAAAAATTTGGCTTCAACAAAAATAGATTTTCATTAAATTTTGAAAATCCACGATCATTTTTTTCTAAAATCCACATACTTTTTTGTTTTGGTTTTACAATGTAGATGTACAAAGAGAGAATATTCATAATTTAAAAAGTTTAGATGGGCGCGAATCGCCCTGAAATCCTAGTGACACAACATCATCGTTCATTGCATACTCATGAAACTGCAACTGAAGTAAACTAGATTAAACAGTAAAATTTCATGTGTTGGGGGGAGAGGGGAAGGATTTTGTCCACTTTTTATAGTTGAAAATCGGAAAAAATGATTCCTCCATCGCACCAGCAACTTTGTTATTCCACCCTTTCCTAATAATCAGTTACAGTGGAGCGTATCCAGAGTATCTAACCTTAATAAATAACCTTGATTTGAGCAGAACAATTGCTGATTTAAGTAATGAATTTTCAAATCTTTGTGCAATCAGAGAGAAATTGATCACATGATAGATAAAAGCTGATGAAAAATTACGGTGATAAAAACTAGAAAATACAGAAACGGTATCGCTAAATTGTGCAAATATAACTTCATCAACAAAATATCTAGAACAGTTTCAGTGAGAACTTTGAGAAATCAAAAGAATTTATAGAATGTCGTTTTCAAAACCTGCTGATAATGAAATGCTGCAGACATTTTTTATTGCAAAATTAAACGGAGCTCTGCAAAACTGTTCCCGCATATTTTTTTCCATGGATATATCACCTCTTCTAAAACCAACTATTTCTTCGGTCAGTGTTCTCCAGATCGCCGCAGTACACACCGAAAGCTTAGTTTAGGGTTATTTATTCATTTTTTCAATTACATACCGAGATTTAGATTTAAATTTAAAGACCATCGAACAATTAATAAGAAGACATTATCTCTTGTCTCCGATGTTCAGGTTAAACTTTATTTCAAGGTTTACAGGGTGTGTTTGTGAAAACTGTTCAAGCTATCTAAGATGTTAGGCTTTTAGGGCACTTCGCGCCCATCTATATATAAATTTGGCTTGTTTGTCTGTCTGTTTGTTTGTCTGTTTGTTTGTTTGTATTCAATAAACGTCAAAACGGCTGAACCGATCGGGCCCAAATTTTTTGTGGGACATCTAGGGAGCCCAGGGAAGGTTTATGAATCATCAAAATTTCAAATATTTGTCTCTATCAAAATTCGATCGTCATTAAATTTTTTAAAATTTTGAAAATCCGCGAAATTTTTTGTAAAAATCCGCGAATTATTTTTGTTTAGTTTTACGATGTACACAAAGAGAACATGTTTACAATTAATTTAGAAGATGGGCGCGAAGCGCCCTCTAAGGCTAGAAAGAAGGGCGCGAAGCGCCTTGAATTTCTAGTGTTTCTAATTTTAAAAATTCAAATCTTGTTCGAGGTTAATTTTTGAAAATTCGATCATCCAAAAACCTTCCCTTGATTCATGTGAGGTCCCACAAAAAATTTGGGCCGGATCTGTTCAGCCGTTTTGATGTTTATTGGATACGTTTATTGTCTGTTTGTCAGACAGACAATGAGCAAAGTTGATGATTTCAAAAGGGCCTCGAGGTTGATCTAAGGTTGATAATCCCAGTGAAGGGTTGATAGGTTGATCTAAGGTTGATAATCCCATAGAAGGGTTGATAGGTTGATCTAAGGTTGATAATCCAAGTGAAGGGTTGATAGGTTGATCTAAGGTTGATAATCCCATAGAAGGGTTGATAGGTTGATCTAAGGTTGATAATCCCATTGAAGGGTCGATAGGTTGATCTAAGGTTGATAATCCAAGTGAAGGGTCGATAGGTTGATCTAAGGTTGACAATCCCAGTGAAGGGTCGATAGGTGCTCGAAAGCTTGTTAATCAAATTTTACAAAAATAAAAAACTTCTGAACACAAATTTTTAAAATTTTGATAATTTATAAACCTTCACTGGGGTCATGTGAGGTCCCACACAAAATTTGGGCCCGATCAGTTTAGCCGTTTTGACGTTTATTCTGAAAAATAAATACCCGGTTGGTTACAAAAACTAATGTTATAATCACGAATTTTAAGCCTTTATATATATTTAAAAAAACATAATTTTCGTAATTGAAAAAGGCGTCGGGATATATATTTTAATGATATTCGACCCCTCCCCCCCTTAACCTTTAAAGAATAGTTAATCACTTCCCTGGTCTTTTGGAATTAGGGAAAAACTTTTCATTTTAATTCCTAAAATGTATTTAAATATTTTGCACATACTTCAACAGTTTGGAATTGTTTAGTTTTGGTTGAAAATTCATTCTTTTTTGCATTTATGTAAAAACTATTTTTCTTTTTTTTAATATTATTTTCAATCAGATATTCTGCATAGTGTAAACATTACAAATTGATTTCCAAGTTCCAAAATTTCATAGAATGCCTTTGAAAGAAAACCATCATTAGAAAATGTTGGGAAACTTAAAAGTATGTAAAAAATGTTAATATTATTGAACATTGTTTCTCAAATCAAATTAAATCAGACCTTTTATCTGCTCACGTAAAGAATTCATTAATAAGAATTTTTGTCCTATTACGAGCATATTTGTAATGTTAGAAATTTGTGAAGGGTGGGGGAGGGGGCACAAATGTTGTAAAGCAAAGATATAGGTAATGAAGAGGTGTGGGCGTGGCGCAGGGAAAACAATTTTTCAACTTAAAAACCTCAAAAACGGTCAAAATTAATAATTCTAGGCTAAAAAACTAGATTTTAAACTTATCACACATTGTAATAAGTTTATTAAAATAGATATTTTGCTTGTTTTTTATTATGTTTTCTTACCTTTAAACTCTGATCAGAACGAATATTATGTGAAGATTTTAATTAAACTATGAATATAAACTGGCCGATATTTATATCTTTACTACAGGGAAAATAATGGCGTCAAAAGGGTGTAAAAGGTTTAGAAAAACTCAAGCATCTTTAGTTTTCCCACAAGTAACATTCGAATTAATAAAAAAAAACGGTTTATTTCTGTGTTTAGTCATTTAGTAAGCCATCAAAATACTTAATTGAATGTTGAAACCAAAAAATAGCTTCAAATCTTGAAACCAAAAAATAGCTTCAAATCTTGAATCCTGATATTTGTATTTGTAAAGAAAAGTACAATATTTCAGTGCGGTAGAACCAGCCAGGCACCTCAGATCACAGTGGTTCAAGAAATGGTGATGCAAACCTCCAAACCAGTAGTCTCGTTGATCACCCCGGCTCAAGCAGCTCTGTATATGGAAACCTCGAAACCTTTAGTCCCGTTGATCACCCCAACTCAAGCAGCTCTGTATATGGAAACCGAACTGTAAAGTGTCCTGTACGGTACACTGTAAATTGTACACTGTACGGCATACAACCAAGTCTGTAAACGAAAAAATCCTGTTGCAGTTATAAATGTTGTGTGATCTATACAATTGAAGTGATTTATATGAACAATTTACAATGAATTGTCATCAGAACTTTCCCCTCAACCATTTTTGCAGTTCTGAATCATGAAGACAAAAATCTACAAAACGCTTTGTTCAGTTAAAAGTTTCTTGGTTATTGAAAAAGTTAAGATTTTTGCTTCTCGATGTGCATATTCTACAGGGTGTTCTAATTAACATGGGAATTGAGTGACAATTTGTATACCGTCTTTGTAAATGATTTTTTGATTAAGTGATGCCCACAAGGAAAGCTTGAACCCACAGATGTTTTGTCTATTAGAGATACGAATTAGGTAATACAGTGCTAATTCTTAACAAATTCGTCAATCTATTCCTATGTGTTTTGGGACAACCTGTATAAGTTCACTGATATTTAAAGAACATCTATACTTTTCAGCTCTGTAGAATAAAGGTAATTTATTGCCACAAAGTAAATTCGATAATAGCTCAAAGCACAGCGCATTTGACCATCTATTTAAAAAATTGAAAATGGCGAAAAATCAAAGATTCGCAGTTTGGTTTGTTGCACAGTTACAATTATTAAATTATTTTAATTTTTTATATTTTTAATTATAACGAAAATGTTATATATAGACTATCTGAATATTAATGTAAATAGGAATGATCCCCAATGTATTATATTCTACTATATATGTAATATAAATGGCTATAAATACCTTATATCTTTAATATAAATATGAGAAAGAAACATCAATGTTAAGTGTAAGGAAATCCCCCATTAAAATAATTAATTAATTTTACAGGTAAGATAACAGTTAAACTCTAAATGAGTAATACATCGAAAGAATATATCAAATGTCGTCTTGACAAATTTTCAATGGGTTTTATACTATTTTACGTAAATCTCAGAATTTGCGAAAATAAATAAATAGCCATGAATATCGGGAACATTTTTAAAGAGGTCCATATATTTATTTAAATAAAATACTAAATAAGTGCAACATTCCATTATAAGAAAGTGAAGAATACGACATTTGATGAATTCTTTCGGTGAATGGCTTATTTAAGGTTTAATTGTAGTATTTATCAGTGGCGGATATAAGGGGGGTTATTGGGGTTATTTACCCCCCCCCTAGAATCCTGGGGGTAAATACCCCCCTAGAATCCTGGGGGTAAAAAAAGGTATTAATATTTTTTCAAAAAAGGGGTTTTTAAGGGGGGGGGGACCAAAATTTTTTTTTGCGCGCTTACGCGTGTGTAGTAATCCAGATACAACCCTCTTTATTCTCAAGTATGTATCAATCCAGATACAACTCTCTCTGTATTCTAAAGTATGTCTCTATCCAGATACAACTCTCTCTGTATTCTCAAGTATGTATCAATCCTGATAAAACTCTCTCAAACTCTATACTAAGGTAATTCAGGTTTCCAAGAGATATGAGAATTATTACTATATTTATTACAAGTGTTTCAATCCTACTATATCTATCTATCCATCCATCTATCTGTCTATTTATCCATATATCTATCTATCTATGTATCTAAGTATCTATTAACCCATCTAAATATCTTTCTATCCATCCAACTATCTCTCTATTTATCCATCTATCTATCTAACTATCTATCAATCTAACTGTCAATATATCTATCTAACTATCTTTAAATACATCTAAATATCTATCTATTCATCTAGCTAGCTATCTATCTATCCATCTAACTATCTGTATAGACATCTAATTATCTCTCTATCCATCTAACTATCTATCTATCCATCTAACCATTTAAGATTGTGTAGACCAGGAGCTCCCATGCTCGGAGCTCTGCTATAAAATTGCTCCCCGCTCATTTGCAACTTCACATTGTTAGATTGGGAAAAGGGTTGGAAATGGGGGGTTGGGTTTATGTAGATCATATTTTTTTTCACTGATCTTTTTTACATTATATTACATTGTTTGTTTCATATATTCCGACTTTTGGACTCCCTTGAGATTAGAAATAGATTTTTACTAATATTATTTTCAAATCAGTATTTCATCCGAATTGTAATAAAAGTTGTTAAGCCTTGTATAAGGCCCAAAGTGTTCGTACGTTCGAGTCTCCGTGCAAAAACCATTTTGATTTTATAACGGCGTTAACGTTATATTTACCAAATATTCGTCAATTACTGCCGATCCACCGTTAACGGTTGGTAAGTTCGTTGTATTTCTATAAAATTAATGGTTTTGGGGTTTAATTTTCAGAACGTACCGAAGTTGACAATTAAAAAACGTCATTATTTTAATTCTGTTGTTATATACATAATTGTACTAATATCTAAAAGTTAACTTATAAATTGAGAGGGTTCTGTACCAGGGGGATGATAGTTTACTACCTGGGCCGCTATCTATACCCATAGTGTACACTTAGGATAGTTTACTGGTAAAGGATATTAAAAGATAATGGCCTATTCATGCAGTACAAATATCGAATATGCAGTACCGCTTTCGAAGTACAAGTGTATGGGGAGGTTTTGTATCTTAAATTTTACTCAGTTTTCTCAGAACCGCTAATTAACCATGAAATATTGCTCTGTAAAAGACTGCAATAGTATGTCTTACTGTGAAAATACAATCTGCACACGATAAGAGAGCAGTGGATTGCAATAGTCAAATGTAAAACAAATTCTCATAGTCGGATATGCAGTCGGCATTTTGAAAAAAATGCTATAGTGGTCAATATTAGTTTGAAAAATTAGTGTTCAAGTTTTCCTTTAAAAGTGTAATTGAAATATGTGTAGCTTGAAAGGTGTTGAATTCGGATAATTTCTTCCGTTGTTTCATTGGTAAACACCGCAAGTCACTTTTAAGAGAAATCAGGATTAAAATAATCTACTTTCAAAGAGAAAATTTACCTCGTGCCTTCGTAATCAAACAAAGCTTTAAGTGCACCATTGTGAACCATATATATCTCTCTATTTAACGGAAAGTTGAAATTATTTCTAGAATTTTCAGAAATCCCCCGAGTACTGTAATATACAGATAGACCTTTGAAAGTGGAGTACATGGTCTTTAAAGGATTGGCGTACATCATCACTCTATATACTATGACTTAGTTGGTCTGTACAAACTAGAATATTGTTGTTTCTCATGTTTATTCATTTATTTATATCGAGAGAAGAAATCCATTTCCAATTAACTATTTCAGAAGAAATGCATTAATGTAAATTATATCCATTAAAAGTAATGGGAGAGAAAAATTGGGTGTCAGCTCTTTAAAATCCATTTGAATTTGAGCCGCGTCTCAAATCCGCCAAAAACCGGTTTAAATCGAGCGCCGGCTTAGATCTTGAACCATTGAATACAATTTTAAGTGGAACCAACCATATTTAAGCCGCTGCTCAAAATCTTTAAATTCGGCCTCTGTATACTTTATTTAAACACCAAATGTGTCTCAATTCTTGTCAAATACAACAATTATAGCTCTACTTTACATCTTTGTATTTTCTGTATTTTTTCATTTTAAATTCAAAAGTGAGAAGAGTAAATATGTTTTGTTTGAAAACAAGCAAAATTTGAAACAAAATTTAGATTAACTTTACTCTAATAAATTACACTTTCTACAAGACAAACATTTGGTGTTTTAACCTGTTAATAATACAGTTGTTCAAAAAAATTCTTGATTTTTTTGAAGTCATTCAAAAACTCAATCTACTTAATCCCCCCCCCTTATGCCTTCTCCCTTCTAATTTCCATGGATGCTAGTTCTCTGAGAATAATTAGGGTTTAGGGCCTAAAAACTGGGCAGCCAGACACAAAACTAATATTCAAATTTTGCCAAAATATTGTAATATGTTCCCTCTTTCACGGCCTGGACCGAGATCATGAAAGGGGTAGAATGGGGGGAGGGGTAGAATGGGGGGGAGGAAGGGTGAGATAAGGGAGGGAGGAGAGAAGGCTAAAAGGATTAGAGGTAACCATGATCTTAAACAATGTAATTTTAAAAAATCGGAATGATTATACTCCAGTATCAGAATCAGAAAGTATTTTTTAAAATTTTAACTTTAACAATTACGACAATTTATAATTCATAGGAACTGTTCACTGAAGACGTAATTTTAAGGTACCGTTTGAAAGAGAGGCATGCCTGATTCACATCGATGCCTTATCTGATGGACCATGAGGGAAATGCAGTTGTTTTTCTATCACAAAATCTATCTTAATTTTAGTATCTCTGCAGTGCAGCATAATTCCGCATTGTCAATTGAAGTTACGTAATTCCCTTTATGTACAAAAAAATATGAAAAGAAAAGATTCAGAATTTCAATTAAAGAAATCATTTATAAAAACCTTCCTAAGTTCAAGGGATCAACTTTAATAAGTTAAAGCGAAACAATGTGAAATACATTTAATTATTTTATGGGTTGTATCAATCAAGATCAAACAAAGCTACTGTATCGGCAGAAAAAAAAATCTGTTTAGAAAAATTATATTTTCTGAAGAATGATTTTGTCATCTAAGAAGAAAGAGGGAGCGGCGAAAGAAGGGAGGCCCCCATATTTAGTAATTTAAGGTAAAAACTCAAAGTATATTTGACGATTGTGCCCCGCAAAATTACCAAACTTGACATGTACAAAACGGGTTTCAAATATTCGAGAAAAAAAACCCGTTTTGACTATTATGAGAGTGTGATACATTCTGTATCGTAATCACATTTTGATTGTGATCCGTGATTATAAATGTTAAGATAAACATCTCTTATACGTAACATACCATTCAGAGGTTAGAATGTCGTCGTCCATATCTTCAATCCTACAGGGTGTAACAATAAACATGGGAATGAAATTGAGGGTGAAACTATGGGGCACTTTTTTCTACCTTGCACCAGCTCTAAAGTTTTTTTTGATACACTAAAAAAATATTTGAGAATTTGTCTGTTAAATTTTCTTACTCATTCCGATTTTCGCTTTTTTTGTGTTAAATAAATCATTATGTAAACTAATTTGTCAAAATAAATAAAAATGGGTATCCGTCTTTAAAAACTAAGTTCAGAAACGTTAAATTTGTAAAAAAAAATCCCTTGAAAATTATGCAAATTATCAGCAAAACCCGTTTTTTTGGAAAGATCAAAAAGTATAAAAAAAACTAGTTTTTTAGACTTAACCAGAACAATTTGTGGAATATCGAAAAGTTTCAATTTTGATATTGTTTAAATAAGCTGCTATATGTAAATAAACATTGAAAACATAAAACCCCCAATCAATTTGTGAAAACACTCGTCTAACTATTTGAAAACGAAAGAATTTGATTGTGAAACTTTGTTTTACCAAATTTGAACCATTTTACAATTAATGAAATATATATCAATGTGATCTTGCTAGAAATTAGAAATTAAAATTTACAAACGAAGAAATATATCAAATTATTTATGAATTAAAAAATTAACTCTAACCCATTTCTTGCGAATTCTCCCTTTAAGATAATAATATCTCAGCATTCCAGGGTTAAATAGTGCCCTTAATAAAATATAATTATAGATACGTGACAGTTCTTAACAGGTTTATAATTTCAAATAATTGCAATCAAATCAGATTTTTTAACAAGTTTCAGGCTCTTCTAGTTCTAGTTCTTTATATAGTTCTAGTTCTTGTTTTTGTTCTGGTTCTAGTTCTATAGTTCTAGTTTTAGCTATATTTTTAGATCTAGTTCTATATCTTTTTATAGTTTGGGTTTCAGTTCTAGTTC